TCAGGTTATCACACACCTTTTCTTAGAAGAGACCGTATCAAAGGAGAACCCAGAGCAACGCCAGAGGCATTCTCCTTAGAATCTCAGAGCCAGGGAATGTTGTCAGGTTCTGGTCTGGGGGCTCCCAGACCTCTCCCTACAAAGAACACCTTTTACTAGCAAGTCACCAACAGTGAAATTTTTAGCAACTGGGTTGCCACCTACACCAGGGGCTCCCTGTACCCTATATCTTACACGGTGTGGTAGGCAGGATGGAACAATGCCCCCGCCCCAAAGATGTCCATGTCCTCCCATCCAAGTACTAACCAGGCCCGACCCTGCTTAGCTTCCGAGATCAGACAAGATCGGGCGCGTTCAGGGTGGTATGGCCGTAGACAAGTCCTAAATCACTCGAACATGTAAATATGTGTTCTTACAGGGCAAAGGGAATTTGCAGATGTGATTTAGCTAAGGATCTTGGGATGGGGGTTATCATGGATTCCATGAGTCCTTATAAGTGAAAGAGAGAGATAAGAGAATCAGAGTTAGAGATTTGAAGATGTTATGCTACCAGCTTTGAAGGTGGAAGAAATACCTGACTAACTACTAGGAAGATGGAAAGCCTTTGCAGGTACCACTTGTCTTTACAGTTGTGTGGACCGCCTATCCGCAGGCTTAGTCCATGTTGCTGTTGGGCTGTCTGGGTTTCCTTCATTGATGTGTTCGTAGGGATAGTGTGTATAACTATTGACCCCTTATCTGCTATATGCATTACAAATCTTTCCCAGCTGTTGTTGCCTATATTTACAATATCTTTTATCAGACAAAACATTGTAGGTTTTATAAACTCAAATATATCTTTTCCTTTATCATTTCTGGGTTCCCTATCCTTGCCGGATCTCCCTTTTCCCCACATTTTATATGGTCTCCTAAATTTCCTTCTAAGATTTTAGCAATTTTATTTTTGTGTTTAGTATTTTATCCACCTGAAATTTATTTTTGTATTATTCTTTTTTTAATCACAAAAATAATACATGTTCCTTGTAGATGTTTCAGGAAGCTTCGGATAATAAGCAAGAAAAAAATTAAATTACTCATAATTTCCCACTGTAATAATACACAGCTTCTGGCTATATCCTTTCAGTCTTTTTTCCTATGCATTGCAATCTCAATTTCTTTTAATTTTATTTTTTAAATTGTTTTGCTTTGTTTTGTTTTTTAGTAGGGGAAGGAGGCAATTAGGTTTATTTATTTTTAGAGGATAAAATTTTATATTGTACATTCTGTTACACAACCTGTTTTGGCCATTTAACAATACAATTAGAACACTTTTTTACATCATGAAATAATTTTCTACAATATACTATTAATAGCATAGGAATAATTCAATGTATAAATGTATCATCACTTGTTTGTTTAATCAAATCCCTATTTTTGGACATTTATAAAATTTTCTTTTCTTTTTTTTTTTGGTGTGAGGATAACGTGCCACGACACTGCCTCCCATTTTGTTAGACTATATTTTGCACTTTGTTAAAGAACTCGCTTATTATCAAGTATATCTGTTCTATTTTAATAGCATCTAAAATCACCTGCTTAAAAATCAGATAAGGAAAAGAAAAGAAGATCCTTTTTTTTTCTTTTTTCTAGGTTGCTCTGTTGAAATATACCTGAACTGAATGGAGGATTTGGAACTACCTTTGAAAAAGAACGGGATCTCCAGAGTGCAATGGATGGGCTTAGAAACTGTTTCTAAAGAGAATCAATGAGAAAGTTTAGTATTGAAGAGTTCAGAAGTTAAAAAATAAACAGCAAATACAGCCTGGGGAAAATCACCAGATAGAAGGATCAGAAGGTCCCAAAGCCCCAGCAGTCAGGTGAAGAATCAGTAGGGCACCAATGCCAGTTCTCTTAATACACCACCACCAAGAAGCTGCCTCAAGCTCTCCTGAAAAGATGCAGACAAATCAATTATCATTCCATTTTAGGATTTTACTGGAACCTCAAGACAAAACAATGAGTAGTAGAAAGTCTAAGGATGAGAGTCATTAAAAAATGAGCACAGAACATATTTTAATTAAGATAATTTAAAAACAAATCTGAATATTTGAAAAAATAATCTAAGCGGACACAAGTATGTATGTTAATCTGCTGTCAAATGTATTTCTGTTTGGCATTAGATTCATTATAATCTGGGGATTTCTCTGCAACTGCTCTCTTCCAAAGTTAACTCTATCCCCAATAAGAACATTTTAAAAAATCTTATTAAACTATATACAATAAACCATGAATGTGACGTCAGAGGGGAGTTTAACTGCTCAGCTAGTCTGGGCAGGATATTTATTATTGCAGAAGCTGAGGCCAGGACAAGGGAAGTCATGTGCCACAGATCAGAAGGTCAGGTACCTGCTGAGCCAGGAGTGAGTGACAAGGAGATCTCCTGCCTCTTAGCACAGCGCTCCTGCCACCAACACACAACTCCACAAGGCGGTCATCCTTGCTCTGGTGCCTGTGGTCACGAGTTTTGCATCAAATCAGGAGGGCAACAAGATGAAATTGACATCAATACGTGTCATCTCAATTATGAGAGTGCTGGTATCAGTCCTCTAGCTGTCTATGCCTTTAATGTCCACACGTGAAACTTTCTGAAGAGGGGACACCAGGAGAGGTCTGAATGCGGCTGGGTCCACCCCACAACACCGGGCTCCCAGGGAGCCCCAAGGCCTGCTAGGTCCCCCGTGGCCCACGCTGAATAAGAGAGACCCCATCTGATTGGCTCTTTCTTCAGTTCATGGTCCCCAGGGTGGAAGACCCTTAAACACTTTCCTCTGAGGGAATTTTAATAGTTTAAGAGCCAAGTGGAAAATATGCAAAATGATCAGATCTCCCATACTTGCTACTAACAAGTTAAAAATACATGACATTAAAAAGGATGTTTCTAGTTTTTCTTTATGTTTTTAGTTTAAGGTTAAAAAAAGTTAGGAGAAAAGTAGGTGTAAACTAGAGCAAAAATTCCTGATTTTTCTCCAACAACATACATACATGTCCCGTCAGTAATAATGGGCTAAGAGTTTTTGCCCAGAATGTGACTTGTTGGATATAACTCCACTCTTTCCTCCCTACTACCACTGATAAAACACCATAATTAGGATATTTAGATATTTTAAAGGAAATCTGACCCGGGAGTCAGGCTCCTCCTTAACCCAGAAGATGAAGCCACTGCTTGTGTATAGCATGTATTCATTGCTACTAATGATAATAATAATGACAAAAAATGGCCGAAATTATTCTAGTTGTACATTAATTGCATGCAGCTGTAGTTATTTTAATAACAATAACCATAATAAGGATAGTTACCTGGAGGAAATCTTTTTTAAATGCTTACTAAGAGCCTGGCACACAGAATACTCAGTAAATTTTAGGTGATATGATTACTGCTGTTGTTGAAGCTACCAGCTACCAATTACATGTAAATATTTCATAATCATGATAATCTGCTCCCATAAAGGCAGAATTTCCATGCAGCAGGTGCTGTTGGTGTCCTTGTCACGAGTTCTCTGCCCACCGCTGACATCAGCTGTGGCTGCACTGGACAGTTCTGTGTGAGCTCTCCCACCTCAGGCTAGCAGCAGCCCATTTCAAATGCATTCAGGATTCTGGACCATACTTTGGAGCTTAGTTGTCTGGGCGTGAGAAACACAGCCTGGAAGCTCAGGGGAAGTAGAGCTGGAGGGGAAACCCTCAACTGATGGGGGCAGGGGCCACTGTCTCTCAGGAGGACAAATCTAGGAGATCGTTCTGTAAGCTGTTCAGGTGATCTCAGCTGCATTGCCCTCGGCGCACATTCCCAGCAGATTCCTCCTCCGCTCCTGTCTCATCCTCACTCCTACTTCCTAGGATCACCTCCCAAATTAACCACCTGCATCCAATTCCTTGTCTCAGCCTCTCTTTTACAGCAACCCAAACTAAGGTATTCCATTCCCTCCAGCTAGGTGAGTCCAGAAATGTAAACTAGAAATACTTTAGAAGGGTGGTCCCCAACACAAGGCAACATCAGATTATTTTTGTTTCACAGTAAAAATGTTTTAAATGGAAGAGAGAACATTTTCAGCTAGCACCTTTTATAAAGCTCATAATACTGTATCATAGGAACCCCTAAAAAAAGTTGGAGAAAACAATTACATTTAGAATTAAGAGGGAGGAGACAGAGAGAAAAGTCAATGCTTTCAGCAGCTTTGATCATCACGCCCATGCTCTGTATTGATGAGCCAGGCCATCACGGGCCCCTGCTCAGTTCTTCCTGATGCCGGCCCTCAAGGGCATTTGCTACGTAACTTCTTGAATGTCTGATCAATTCAAGCCTGAGAGCTCCTTGACTGAACGGGGACCTGGCAAAGTTCCAGGGGCTAATGGATAATTTGTAGTGACCATATCATGGGGATTTGGCTGCATATCCAATGATGTGGGGGTGATAGCCAGCATTCCTTCCAACATTTAAGGCCCTTAACAACTGTTGTGAATGACACAACCAAACCAGAATATCATAAAACCCTAAGGAGATCAAGTGACCAAGAGATAACACTCAAGAGTTTTTCGTGTCATTGCCTTAAAAATATTGACCATATAAAATTTAATTCAGCAGGTACATTTAGACCACTCACTGTGACACAACAACAAACAGGTATAGAGAGCTTTACATCTGTTCTCTCACTTGATCCCAACACGGCCTATAAGATGGGTATTATTTATTCTCTCCACTTCACAGATGATGCAACTGAGAGCAAAGAATTAACACCATGAACGATGGTGAACTGAATGACTTACCTGACATTAGATCTCAAACATGGATCCAGATTTTCTAAGCACCAGTTCTTTGCCCTTTCCTCCACTTCCTGCTGTCTAGTTGGACAGCACCAAGTACCACCTCTAACAGGAAATGCCAGTGAATAGTCCTCATTCTCTGCCTTAAGGACTCATGATCTCCCTGGGGAGCAAAAACAGTGCTGCACTTAATTGGGTGAACGAACCTCGTGTTACAAAGTTTACAAAAGAGAGAGCTGAGTGCTGGCTTGTAAGGTTAGGGAAGGCTCTCTGGAGAGGAATGGGAGCAGATCTGGGCTCTGAAGGATGGTCATGGTCTTCATGGGGCAAAGGAAGACACTGGACTAGTTAGGAGGACACCAAAGAGATGACAGCTGTGGATTTTGAAAGCCACACAGGTCTTGGTGAGTTACCATTTAATATTCTTTAATTTCCTTGAAGTAAAGTTTTTATGAACTACAATTTTCTTAAGCTCTCTACTTAAATCACTTCTCAGTATCAAGGATCAATTAGCTCAGTTCCATGGTTTCCCAACATATTTGAGCCTGTGGCCCTGGAATTTTATAGGGAAGCCAAATATATAAAGAAGAGCTGTTTTGGTGGATGGAGGTGATTAGAGACCAATGGAAAGGAGGTTGTCCACACAAGGCAAGGCCCCATCAGCCACTATTCTGTTAAACAAGATGTATGCTTCACTCCAGGTCCAGCTAGGAAAACAGAAACTACTTCAGTTATTTTAACAGAGAAAATAAGATATAAGGAACTGGTCTGATGGTGTTGGAGGACAGAACGGCAAAAGGGAACGCAAAGTAATACAAAGAGGAGACACCTTCTCCCTAAGGACTCGGGAAACAAAAGGAGACAGTTAGAGTGTTTTAAGTCTTCAAGGTTGGCAGAAGCACCACACGGAGCTGGTACTCAGACCTCAGGGAAGGGGAGAAATTTCATAATTTGCCCAGCTAGTCCTGGTTCTTCTGATGTGGGATGATGAGAGGAGTTCTGGGTGAGCTGATGAAAAAGCTGGGGACTGGAACTGCCACTGAGGGGAGGAAGGGCCTCTGCTCCAGTGACACTAGTGGTAACAACAAACAGAAGGACCAAGTCCCCTCTTCCTCCTCCTGCCTTCCAGTCTCTCTCAAGTGTACCCTCTCTTGGTGGGGGTCAACAGGGGCCAGCTGGTGGAGGAGAAAGGTGGTGTGCGGAGTCCCAACCCTAGCAACACAGAGCACAGTGCAGAACCACGGAGCTGAGAAACAACAGTTGCAGAACCAATATGGCGCCTCAGATGACAAGAAGGAGCAGATGAGAGAAGAAGGGCAGCTCCGCCCTGAATGTTCATGGTTAGGAAAATAATTACAAGTTTATGTCTTACAGACAGCAGATCAGTTGCTCCATCTTATCTCTGAAGCCCAAAAGGATGGTATATTAATTCGAGCATGAACCATAAGTTAGTAGATACAATTTACTGGCAGAAAAATACCAGGACAATAGGATGAAGGGCCAAAGTAGACCCTCAAATTATGAAATATCTCATTTTTCCATATGTCCTGGTTCAGAATTTATTATTAAGTACTGATTTGTTCTCTTCTTTACATATGTTCTTTCTCTTCAAACAGATTCGTTTTCTCTTCTGCAATTTACTTGGGTACAGTCCACGCATCAGAGTACAAATCAGTGATACAGCCCCTAACCACAAGTATATTAAGTGTATGTATCATTTTTCCCATCTGTGAGGCAGGGATGATTAAGGGATTGCATATAGAAATGAGGATTCTCTTATTCGTGATTATCATTCATTCATCCAACAAATATATTTTAACATCTACTATATGCCAGGCATTATTTTAGGGGCAGGGGTTAAAACATTGAATAAAATAGACAAAGAACCTCTATCAGTTAGGAACCCAGACAGCTCTAAGTTATGGAAAATCCCACTCCAGTGACTTGACTAAAGAAGGTTCCATGATTTTCACTTAACAAGAGATGACAAGGGAGGCAGCCAAGGCTGGTAGGATGCACTGTGACGTCATCAGGGATCCAGTTTCTGCCCACCTTTCTGCTCAGACCCCTTGATGAGCTGGTTCATGCACTCATACTTGCCATTTCATGATCACAAGACTATTCCACTGTCAGGAATTATTTCAAACAAGCATAAGGAAAAAGGAAGAAGGAAGTGGCAATGCCTGTGTTAGAAAAGTGAAGGCTTCCCAGAAATCCACAACATGCTTCTGTTCACATCACTGACCAGAGCTAAAGCACGTGGGACGTAGGAGAATCACATCGTAGAAGGACCAGGAACCAGGACAGCACCTGAGTGGTCTCATTCAGGGGCAGTGACCCAATAAATGAATACCAATCACAGAAGAAGTGGTACAAAATCTTAGGTGAGGACTCCAAGTGCTGGCTTGGGTCCTGGCAATCCCACCATGTCTGCACACATTGGGAGAGATGGTTCCCTAAAAGAAAGTCAGGGAACACCAAGAAAAGAGACCAGGGCACTGAGTATCACAAAAGATCAAGGGCAATGACCAAGGGGCTGATGTTTGTGAAAGGATTTAGGTTTTCCAGATGACAAGTTCTCAAGTGCTATTAAGCACTGTAAAATTCTTAATATTTTACCTTAATCCTAAAAACACATCTTTGCTCCCGTTCTTTAATACCTCAGGAAAATCCAATTTTCACTTTTCTAAACTGAAACAGAACTGCAAAAAAAAAAAGTTTGCACTGAAAGAAAAATAGACAGCCGAAGATTGGCTGGTTTTGTTATTAAGACTGTCTTCTGGTTACGTTTTATATATAGATTCTCCTGAATGTAGGTTAGGGAGCTATTAAAAAATTAAATAAGGGGAAGAACATCGCTTCTGCTATTTGACTTGAAGATGTTCACAGCGGGGCAACATAAAATCAGAATTTTATAGTGTTGCCTGAAAATAATAGCATATCCTGAACTAGAAGCCCATAGGCAGATAAGACCATTAAGGACTATTACCCATGTTATTACTGCTAAAATATTTATATATTATAATTTTGTAATACAGTATTTCCAAAGAAAATGATGTTAGCTTAAAATGCACGTATTAGTAAAGCCATTCCAGCATAGTGTTGTTTGAAAATCTCTGCAGGAGCAAAAGCCAAAAACACCATACAATTATTATAACGTTGGATTTTGCCCGTGCAGATGTCTTTTTTCTGATCCTTGAAAACAGATACAGCTAATTAAGACCAATAAAATTAAGCATAAGAGTGAAATTTGTTAAAAAATAAGAAGAAAATTTATATAGGTTTAGGTACCATTGTTATTTGCATTCTTTTTCTGTAGTAAAATTATTTTAACTTTGAATAAGTTTTGAGGTCTTCATTTGGTTATTCAAAATTGTTTGAATCTACCTAGTAAGGCAGACATTACTGCTTGTCTATTCAATAATCATTCTCCTTTTACTCCTTACTAATATAATCCCATCTTTAAGATGTCAATGTGTTCTACTAAAACAGAAACCTCCCAGATTCAACTGCAGCTAGGGGTTGCCTTGAGATTAGGTTTAGGCAATAAGATATAAAGGGGAAGAATTTGTTTTTTTAAAAAGGGGAGAGACATCTGGCACTATCTTTGATTTTTCTGTCTAGAGTACAGATACAATTCCTGGAACAATGGCAGCTATTTTGCAACCATGAGGACACAGTAAAGAGATGAAACATTGGGATTTGATGACATTATGGAGATAATGTGCAAGCCCTGGGCTGCCTATCTTCAACCTTTTTCCTATGTCTTAAAAATAAACCTCTCTTTGGTTTAGCTATTGCAATCAGGTTCTGTTATTTGCAGCCAAATGTATTACTAACTGATATATGCACTATGTATCCAGCACTGTGTTGGACTCAGAAGATACAGCAGTGAACAAGATGTGGTCCTCAGCCTCCAGTAGCTTATTATTTAATGAGAGAAACATTAAGCAAATAATAACAAAATTACTTAGCGCCAACTGCTGAGGTATCTACGCTAGCCTGTGTGAAGATGGTGGTCAAAATATATCTGTTTACATAGATGACATACAAACTGAGATTTGGATAAACAGGAGTTAACTGGGTGGTGGCAGTTGGAGAGAGCATTCCAAAAGGGGGAAATAGTCCCTATGACTGAAATATGGAGACCAAAGGCAGTGATGCTTCATGGGGCTGGAGCAGTAGTCAGATCAGAAAACACAGGGCATTTGGCCCGGATAAGAATTGTAGACCTTAGAGCAATGGAAAGTCATTGGTAGGTGTGAAGTGATCAGACTTAAGTTGTGAAGAGATCATTCAGGCTGCAGTATGAAGGAACAGAAAGGGAGCTAGAGTGGGTGTGGGAAGTAAGAAGTTGTCTAGGTCAGGGTCAGCAAACTGCTTCCAAGGGTCTGCTTTCATAAATAAAATTGTAATGGAACTCAGCTACCCTATTGGTTTGTGTATTTTCTGTGGCTGCTTTTGTGCCACAATGGCAGAGCTGAGTGGTCACCATGGAGACCATACAGCCAACATAGGCAAAAATATTTACCACGTGGCCCTTTACAAAACCAACATGCCAAACCCTGCTTGAGACAGGAGAAGACAGTTTCATGGGGATGCAGGAAAGTGGACAGATTTGAGATGTATTTGAGATTTGCTGATGGGCTAAATTTGGGAGCTGAAGAAAAGAGGAGTGATGACTTTTAAACATAAGCACCTGGTAAGATGGGAAAGCAGGTTTGGGAGGGAAACATTCAACTGTCTGCCTTGGAAATCCTGAGTTTAAGTATCTTAGAGAGATTATCAACATCACGGTCCCTCTCTTGTTAGAATACGGAAGTCCTGTAACAGAGACACTTTCCTTGTGTTCGGTATTGCAATCAGTTCCACTCAGTAAGAATCATACTCTTGATTTTTACACAAAGTCTTCCCAAATATAATCCAATTCAGTCCATTTTCATAAAAAAAATTAAGCAAAAGTTAAAAGAAATTGAGGCAAATGGATTATAATAAAAGTTTTTCCGATGATTTAAGACATTGGTTTCTTAGTTGAGCAGTCAGTCTATCCAGTAATGATCATGTATACATTTTCAGGACTTATTTTTCATACAATCTCATTTCCCCCAGTATCTTCACACCATTAAATACTGTCATATTGATCTCACAAAATAACACAATATTGGGCCTGTTATGTGGTAGGGTATCATTTGTTGAGAACCAACACAGAGTTGTTGGTTCTAACCAACAGTTGGTTCTAACTGGGGTTAGATCTGATTAAGCCCATTTTCTGTATCCTTCTAAGCAAAATGACTGTATTTCCCTGTGAAAATCTGGGACACAAGGCTTGACAACTGGGGAAAAACGTTTTTAATTGTGAAAATCCAAGAAAATATCAGACATACAGTTGTTATATATTTCTACGCCAGACCTAAAGCGTGGGGGATGCCCAAATCTCCATCATCCCTCTGTGAAAGGTCAGGCCTCAAGCACAGAAGGGAAAATAATCAGCTGTCATGGGAAATGGCGGGGCCCAGCATTTGAAATAAAACACCTTGGTGCTGTTCTTTGAATTTTCAGAAGTGTTTGGCAATATGGATACACAATATGCTTGGTGAGACCTCCTACTGAGACTGTTGGGGGTCGGGGGAAACGCAAGTCTTCCAAAACGTAACATTCAGGATACCACCTGACCTGCACTCTTCTACCGAGAACGCCTTCACAGCTGCTGCATGAGTTTGAATTACTGCAGGAATGTCTTCAGGGCTACCTCACAATTTTTCATCGTGGTGCAATTGCTCCCCACCACAATAAACAGTCCTTCGGCAAAACGTGCTGGAAGTTTTTTTGTACCTTAAGGATGAGACGATTTCTTTTGAAATGCACACATTGAGAGGTGGGACAGAAAACATCCAAAATGGGGAATTTATGGGCTTAATGAAATGTGAAAATTGGAAAAGACAAACATCCCTTCTGAAGATGGCTTTAACTCATCAGCAAACTGGGTTAATTAAAGTGTTAGTCAGACAGAGCTCTTTATTTCTTTTAAGCACCATTTTGGGGGTATAATTCCTGCAGAGTAAACTACACATATTCAGATGTACAATTTGATGACTTTTGATAGCTACATACACCTAAGAAACCATCACCACAATCAAGACAGCTAGCATTTACATCACTCCCCAGGAGGTGAAAATTTCAATCTCCTGATTTATCCCTTCCCACTCCTTTACTTCCTGGTAACCGTAAGTTTGTTCTCTATGTTTGTGAGTCTGTTTTTGTTTTGTAGATAAGTTCATTTGTGTCTTTGTTTGTTTGTTTGTTTTTAGATTCCACATATGAGCGATCTCATATGGTATTTTTCTTTCTCTTTCTGGCTTACTTCACTTAGAATGACAATCTCCAGGTCCATCCATGTTGCTGCAAATGGCATTATTTTATCAGACAGAGCCCTTTAAATGTGATACATAATTTCTTTTTTAAATTATTTTCAAGCAGAGTAGTTGGTTTTTGCTTAGTGGGTTGGTTAGCTGGTATTTTGCTTGCTTTGGGTTTTCTTTTTATTTTTTTGCTGCTGTCTTCCCTGAATGAAGCAAGCATTCCCAGCCAAACAGTGTTGAGCTAATGCTCAGAAAGCCAAGTTTTCTTCTTCCCTCCTGAATCCACCTGCTCATGCCCTTAAGCCCAGCTCCAGGTGGGACAGTGTTTGGAGCAGCAGCTGGAGAAGGAGAGAACTCAGAACAGGCACACTGAGCTGGTTTGGATCCCCCTTCATAATTTTCATTCAACATAGGCTTTCTTTAGGAAGCCTGTAAAATGTTGTTTTTTAACTGAAGTACAGTTAACCAACAGTAAAATTCATCTTTTCAAATGTATAGTTCTGGGTGTTTTGAGAAGTTGATACAGTCATATAACCACTCAAATAACCATCAAGGCAGAGAATATTTTCCTATCTTTAAAAGATCCTTCATGTCCCTCTGCTGTCAGTCATCAACCCTACCCCAGCCCCTGGTACCTGGCAACCAAAGATCTGATTTCTATTTCTGCCTTTTCCAGAATGTCATATAAATAGAATCATACAGCATGTAGCCTTTTGCATCTGATTTCTTTCACTTCTCAAAATGCTTTTAAATTCAGTAACGTTGTGGATGTGTTATTAATTCATTCCTTTTTATTGCTGAATAGTATGCCATTGTCATTATATGAGTGTATCATAATTTATCCATCCAGTAGTTGGTTGTTTCTAGTTTGGGGTAATTATGAACAAAGCTGCTATAAACATTCATGCACAGGTTTTTTTGTGGACCTGTAAGAAACCGCCAGACTCTTTCCCTAAGTGGCTGCACCATTCTGCATTTCCACCAGCAAATGTATGAGAGACCCAGTTACTCAACACCCTCACCAGCATTTTGTATGGTCAGTTTGCTGCTGTTTGAGCCAATATAACAGCAGTGTAGTGGTACCACGTTGTGCTTCTAATTTACATTTCTCTGCTGGCTAATCATACTGAGCATCTTTTCCTGTACTTATTTGCCATGTGTCTCTCTTCTCTGGTGAAGTATCCGTTCCAATCTTTTGCCCCTGTTAGTGGTTTGTTGTTTTTGAGTTTTGAGAGTTCTATGTATTCTGGTTACCAGTCTTTTCTCAGACGGGTGCTTCGCAGATATTTTCTCCCTGTCTGTGGCCTGTCCTTTCATTCTCTTCACAATGCTACTTAAAGAGCAGAAGTTTTAAATTTTGATAAAATACAATTTATCAACATGTTTCTTTTATGGATCATGCTTTCTGTGTCCTTTCTAAGAAATCTTTGCCTGAGTGTTACAAAGATTTTTTTTTCCTGTTTCCCTCTAGAGATTTTATAGTTTTAAGTTTAAATTTAGGTCTTTGATCTATTTCTAGTTAACTTTTCAATACAGCGTGAGGCACTATACCTGTGGGTGACATTTTCACAAATGGATGTTCAAATACTCCAGCACCATTCATTGAACAGTCCTTTCCTTCCTGTGTCGTAATACCTTGGCACCTTTGATGACTATCAGTTAATATGTGTCTATTTCTGTGCCCTCAACTCTGTTCAGCTGATCTATGTGTCTACTCTTCTGCCAACACCATGCTGTCTTGGTTACTGTAGCTTTCTAGGGAGTCTTGAAATCAGGTGGGGTTAGCCCTCCAACTTTTTTCTTTTTCAGAATTGTTTTGGCTATTCTAGATCCTTTGCCTTTCCATATAATTTTTAGAATTAGTTTATTTATTTCTACAAAAAAGCCTCCTGGGATTTTGATTGGAATTACACTTAATGACATACCAATTTGAGGGAAGTTGACATACTGACAACACTAAGTCTTCTGATCTTTAAGGACAGTACTTCACTTACTTAGATCTTTTGTTATTTGTCCTCAATGTTTTTTAGTCTTTAGCATACAAATTTTGCACATATTTTGTTGGCTCTAAGTATTCTATGTTTGAGATGTTATTTTAAACGGTACTTTCAAAAAAATTTGTTTCCAAGCATTGTTCCTTACTAGTATACAGAAATACAAGTGATTTTTTAAAATATATTGCTCTTGTATCCTGAGACTTTGCTAAATTTATTTGTAAGTCTATCAGCTCTTCAGTAGATTCTTTGGGATCTTCTATGTAACCAATCATGCCATCTGAGAATACAGTTTTAATTTTTCCTCTCTAAAGCACATGCTTTTATTTGTTTTTCTTGCCTTATTATACTTGCTAAGACCTCTAGGGCAATGGAAATTCTTCCCTGTTTCTGATCTTAGAAGGAAGATCTAAGAGTTAATCACCATCAAATTTTTCTGCAGATTTTTTT